AGACACTTACAAGCACTTTAGAGGTAGCACTATCAAAACCAGTTCCAGCAGATGCAAAACAAACTCCTGTAGCAAAATCATCTATAGTGTAAGCCGGATCCAAGTAAGCAGGCACGGTTGATTTTAACCCGAAAGCCTCAGAGATGAAGTCTGTTGCAATCCGTCCATTGGAAAACCGTCCAGTGGGTCGACCACCATCAAAATCCCGACCATAAGGCACAAAATCACTTCTTGAAATCGTAGGAATGAAGTTATTGTTCCCAGAATCCACTGAAGAGTCACCGAACACTATAATAGACGAAATTTTAGCGTCTATTCCGAGGATCTGCTGGAACAGACACATAAAGATCAAAGCAATGGAATGGAATGCCATTTTCATGTCCTTGCTTAGCCTCTAACATGCACTTAACAAGATGCAACACAAATTTATTAAGGATTAAAATGACAACCTTAAATGAGTGAGAATCATTAATTTTCTCATTAATGACAACCTGCAGACTTGATACGCATCATAAACCATTCGATGTGTTTGGTTATGCGTTACTAGACCAACAGTCAAGATTTTTTGAATTTTTCTTCTTTCCAGTCGAGCGTACCAATAGTATTTAATGTAATGTTATCTGTATTTCAAACTGAACCATTTCAGTTATAGTAAGCAGAAAGAATTTCAAATGTGGGCTTCCAAAACCATAATTCATTTATAATTTCAGGCTATAGAATTTGAGTAATCTGATCTCTTTCATCAAACTTAATGGATGAGTTTCAGGGGCTAAATCGTTATGGTAAAATCGTGTCTCAGTAGTAAAACATGGCGATGCGTCCTTTACTCACTCTCTATGCTCCAAGGCTAAATTCACGACACACTCTCCTTCTACGTAGAGCTAAAGAAACAAACACTATATGTAGGCTGCTTAGGTGGTAGTGGGGTCCACCTTTGAATACATTGACTTAGACTGCTTAGGTGGTAGTAGGGTCCACGCTAAGTAGGCTGCTTAGGTTGGTTAATTAGTACTAGTAGTCTGGTAGTTCATCAGACATTTAGAGCCAGTACTTCCACTGATAATTAATTGTATTATTAACTTGTGATTACTTAGGTTTTAACTTTCAAGAAATATATATATATATATATATATATATATATAAAACATGTTAACGTCAATTACTATGATAAGAATAGGACGTATATAAAGGTTAACGTAACTATGTCAATTATTATATCATGAAGATCAAGAGACGTGAAAGTCTCCTCCAACGAATTGGGAAGGGCAATATTGAATATTCCAACTGTAGGGGGAAAAAATCGTCCATAGAAAATACTCAACTCATGCAATATTTACCATGTACCGAAATAAAAACTTCTTCCTGCCTAAGGAGTACCAGCAAAATTCTTAGAAATTCATGAAATAAAGCTAAATGCAATCTCTCCTCTTAACTTACTCTTTAAATATAGCAAGAGAAGTTCTGAGAGCATGATCTGCTAGTATGCCATTTGTTTTCTCAGTAGGATGGAAGGAATCCCAAAATACGTACTGATTCGCATCTGTACATGTAAAGGGATTATGTTCGTTGCATAGATAACCCATCTCAAAGCTTCCCGTCCCACAGCAGGCAGTTGCTGCAGTTTCAAATCCTGCAAAGTTCATCACATCACAAGCATCAGCAAATCTAACTGTTGATCACATTTCACACAATGTACCAGCAATCAACTAATTTGATCAGAATCGAGGTGAAATATTATATCAGAATTATTACCAAAAGACTGAGGATCCCGAATGATCTTGTAAAGAACATAGTATGGATTTGAGAACACCAGCTGAATTCCAGAAAGCTCGTCGTTCAGTATTTCAACTAATACTTTCAACTTTTTGTTAAACTCCCTGGCCACATAATTGTACCTTGCTACACAACGTCCCCAGTTTAGTGTTCTCTCCAGTGGCAAGCAGCCCATTGGAGGGAGTCCGGTTATGGATATCTTTCGTGCTCCAAGGTGGTAAATCTCGGCAATGAAGGATCGTGCTATGCCAACTAAAAACTTCTGGTAGCCCTGAGGAGAAAACTGGAATGATCTGTGTGGAAGCACATAATAGTTTTCTAAGAAATCGTTCGTGCCCATACTGATAATGTATAGAGCTTTTCTCAAGATTTTCTTCGCCTTCTTTCTACCCAGATAGCCTTCTAGTCGGGTTTTGTATTCCTTGAAGTATTCGAGTTCTTTCCACAGAGGTATTACAGACTGCAATTGGAGTTTCAATCAGGCTTAGATGCAGCATCGGTTTATTTAAAAGCGTGGTAAATTTAGAGGTTTTGAAGTTTAAACTGTTGGAGAGATGGGAAGAATGAAGACAAAACTCGAACCAATAGAAGAAGAAAAAGAGAAAAAAAACAAGAGCTAAAATACAATCCTAAGACGATATTTGCTTCTCCTCGATTTAGAGATTACTTTGTCTTGTCATATTTTTCTCACCTGACTCTATCTCCTTTCTCTCCGTTGAGAATTAGAAATCCTAATTCTATTCTATCAAGAGCAATAAAAAAATAAACATTCAAGAACACAAAAAATTTATATAAGTTTGTCTCAATGTGATACTACATCCTCTTTTATTGTTACTATAATTTACTATAATGAAAAAAAATTCACTAAAGAAAATCGCAAAACGATAACGATCAAACTCCACAACTTAACACTTATCCCCACCCCTCGGTCTTTAATCTATAAGGGGTAGGGGTAGGGGCACGAGCATGGTAAGGTATGTCCAATATACCATGATGCTAGATCTAAAATACATATCCAAGAAAAACTTACAAGCACTCTAGAGGTAGCATTATCATAGCCAGTTCCAGCTGAAGCAAAACAAACTCCTGAAGCAAAATCCTTTATACCGTAAGCTGGATCCAAGTATGGAGGCACGGCTGGTTTCAATCCGAAAGCCTCGGAGATGAAATCTGTCGGAACCCGTCCATTGGAAAACCGTCCTGTGGACTGACCGCCATCAAAATCCCGACCATAAGGCCTGAAGTCGCTTTTCAAAACCGTAGCGATGAAGTTATTGTTCCCGGAATCCACTGTAGAATCGCCAAACACTATAATCGATGAAATTTTAGCATGAATTTCGAGGATTTGCAATAATTGAAACATGAAGATCAGAGCAATGGAATAGAAGGCAATTTTCATGTCCTTTATTACTATCTTGTACCAGGTTTAGCTTCTAAAATAAGGATCAAAATGAAAGTAAAATTTCTTTCTGAAGCACCTAAAACTCACGACTTTTGTACGAAATAAATGTTTCAAACCTCAAAGTTTGTCGTAAGATGCGATATTGAGTTAGTCTTTGTCATTGCATCATTAATTCAAATCAAGTAAATAATTTTACAGGTGAACATATTTAATGCATGCAACTGCTGAATAAAGGCACTGAGGAAGAAAACTGGTGGGTTGTTGTTAAATGAGAAAATATTCACAAGACAAATGTGCAAAACTGATTCATGACTTAATTTTTAAGAAAATTCTTGATAATATCGTCTAAACACTCTACAAACATACTCTAAATATTATGCTCTTATGCTATGTTCACGTTATGAAGATTTGGGGCTAGCATTTCATCAGTTTTAAATTGAGAAGAAAATAATTAATGATAGTTTTCTATTTTAAAAGACTTGATGCGAATTACTTTTCAAAAATTATTAATTAGTAGAACGGATTCTTTCAAAAATATATTGTTCCGTGGTGGATGACTACTGGCTATTATTTACTCAACTCCGGTCAAACACGGTACGACTTAGCAATGATAGGACCAAACAAAACTCCCGAACTAAATTGGACTCGAACTGAATTGAACCAAGCGATTCTTTTTAAGTTAAATATCCGAACAGATATCTGAATAAAAAATCAACGGATTTGATTTAATTCTCGGCTCTATACCAAGAATCGAATAAGAGCCGAAACTTCATAATTTTTTTTATCTTAAATAATTCAAATTATTTTTAAAAAAAATAAATTTGCTAATTAATTAATTTAGCCAAAACCCAAACTATGATTTTCCTATTTATAATTTTCAGCCCAAGCCCACTTAATCAAATTGATCCTAAGTCTTATTCAAATCTCTTATCTACCGTAATATCGTTTTCTGCTGTTTTGAAGAAATCAAATTGAAAGTTCGGTTGTGCCTTTCTTCATTATTATGGACTCGCTATCTTCCTCATTTTGTAATTTTGACAGTCAAACCTATGACGAACTCAACAAAGAGATGCACAAAAAGATATCAGGATTGGATTAAGTTATTTTATAAGTGCTAAAATTGAATATATCATTAATTAAATTATTGTACAAAATTCGAGAATGGAACCGAGCCTAAACACCCCATAATTTAATTTAGACCAGACGTTTCTCCTTATTAAATATCTGAAAATTCGTGTTCAGTTTGGTTTTCTTTAAAATCGAGAGAATCAATCTGCACTCAATAGTACCATGTTTAGCCCTAATCATCAAGCACGTGAAACATTTGACTCTGGCCTAATACTTACTCGACTTTAGTCAAGGTTGATAAGACTTAGCCTCATCTAAGCACACCAGATGGAAAAACTACACGATTCCAGTTGAGTGTGGTTTAGCCCACCAAAGCTCACAGAAAAATTGAATGCAATCAAGCATGTAATTAACTAGGGCCGGACACGAAAAGGCTCGACCATGGTTGAGAACATGAAAATTGGTCCCCAACAAAAAACTCGACTATAGTTTGGCGCCCCGAAAACTTAGTTTTGATCGAGCACCTGAAAGACTCAACACCAATCGGTACGTTGAATTCGATTTAGTCCAAAATCAAAAACTATAAGCCCCACCAACTAGAATCAGGTTAGCGCATAAATAGTTTGACAAATGCAATTTACGAACAAAAAATTAATCAATAAATATAGTAGTAAAACTAAGAAAATTAACGGCCTCGATGTAAATTTTTTGAGGTGTTATAAAAGTGAAGAAAAGAGAAGAGAACAGAGAGAAATCAATAGACTTGTGTGTATTTTATTAAGGACCAAAGCTTTGTATTTATAGGGAAGAATCAGGGATACAACAGTAATAATTTCTAGGGCTGCAGGGATATAATTTTCATTCACCTCTAAACCCTAATAAACTTTTCTTTTACAACACTCTCCCTTGAATGACATATTATAAAATATCTGTCTCGTTAAAACCTTGCTTGATAAAAATTCAATGGAAAAAAATCAAACGAAGGAAAAAGAGTATAGTTATTTTGGAGTACTAAAAATAAATGCTGCCTCATTAAAACCTTATTAGGAAAACCCAATTGGACAAAACATAAGCGAAGGAAAAAGAGTACAGCTACTCCTCCTGATGTTGATCACTGAAAATCCTTGAATCGACGCTTTCTAATCTCATGAACTAATTTCTTGAATGTAGATGTTGACAGTGCTTTTGTGAATAAATCGATCACATTGTACTTGAGCGAATTTGTTGGTTATCGATGTCGCCATTATTTTGAAACTCATGTGTATAATAGAATTTTGGAGAAATCTGCTTCGTCTTGTCATCTTTGATATAACCTCCGTCGAGTTATGCAATACAAGATGCATTGTCTTCATACAAAATTATTAACTATCCCTTGTTGGAGTTAACTCGCATGATGCTTGGATATGATGGGTCATATCTTCAACCATACACATTGATTTGAGGATGTTGTTGTCAGGGATTGTTTCACAGATCTCCATGATATAGTTGTTCCTCTACGTGTAAACACATATCCTGTTTGTGATTTAGCTTTATGTGGGTCAGAGAGATAACATGTATTTGTATATCCCAATAACGCAGATCCCGACTTTTGAGAATAAAATAATTCCAAATTAATAGTACCCTTTAAGTAACGAAAAATATGTTTAACACCATTCCAATATCTTTAAGCAGGTATAGAGCTATATCTTGCAAGGTGATTTACAGAAAAAGTTATGTCAGGTCGAGTGCAGTTTGCAAGATAAGTTAATGCTCCAATTGCACTAAGATATGGTACTTCAAGACCAAGAACATTTTCTCCATCTTCAAGTGGATGAAATGGATCATTTTTCTTATCTAGTGATCGAACAACTATAAGCGATACCAATGGATGTGTCATATCCATATAAAAACGTATTAAAACTTTTTCTGTATTCGTAGATTGGTGAACAAATAATTTATCTGCGAAATGTTCAATCTGCAATCCGAGACAAAATTTGATTTTTTCTCAAATTCATTTTTCAAATAACCAGCAACTTTACTGAGCTCTTCAGGAGCTCCACTTAAATTTCAATCATCGACTATAATTGCAAATTCAATATTTATTTTCTTTATGAAAACATATGGGCGGACATGGTCATTTTCATAGAATTCATTTAACAAATATTCGCTAAGGCAATTATATCATATGCGTCCAGATTGCTTTAATCAATATAATGATCTAAGAACGTGGTTCTCGGGCATGTATTATTTGAGTTACGCTTCAGGCATAATAAATCTTTCAAATATAACATTAATAATCATGTCAGATCAGTTGACTATCACGTATTTCAAATTTTATGTATCGTCAAGATAACATGATATAAGCTCCTGATTTTATCCATGACGATCTTTGCAAAATTCACTATGTTGAGAGTCGTGCATTACATAATACTACTTCATTTTTCTCATTTCATTTTCGTACAAGTATATACCTTTAAATTTTCGGACTACAGATCCAAAAATTTCGTGTTTATCTAGTAAATTCAATTTAAAATTGTGTCTTCTTTTATTTGACCAAACATTATTTCGATCGATATATTTCGACGCATTTATTTCGATTCCTTGCGATTCACATATGATACTGTATATCATGTACAAAATTGTTGTCGACAACTTTTTCTTTTCTTGTTTGATTCTATTTCTTTTCTCATAATGACATAATTTATTTAGATATCTCAATTTTCAACATATCGGGTACCTGAATCTCTTCTGAAAATTTATAATTTGTTATGTCTAAATACTCATTAAGAGTATATGAGAATGAAACCATCGTTGCTAATTGCTCCATTTTCAGTTGAAGATTTTTGTATTAGAATCGAACATCATCATGCTTTAGGCGTGCTATAGATATATCAAATATAATGCTAACAAATTGTCCCCTAAGACATCAATTCGTATTGGAGCATAAAAATTGGTACTTGAGATATTATTGATCTCTTTGATCAATAGATGTATCTAAATAAATTATCTTTCGAACTTCTGGTTCGAATGATATTTAGTGAGGATTTAGATGATAATACATTTATACGTTATTTTCAACTTCTTAATTCCTCCCCTAATGTTGAGAGAATTGTCCGATCAAATTGACAATCATTTTTTTCAGTGTTATAAAATATCACCCATAATAATTCAAATTACGAACTTATTCTCAACATTCTTTATTTTATATCTTAGAGTATTGTGGTATTCAATTTTTACATATACTACACCATCAAAAATAATTAGAAGAAAAATTTAGGATTCGACCATAAGTTGATTATAATATGGAGAACTATAATTTTAGATTGATGCGTAATAAAATTTCCTAAATAAAAATAGGAAATACTTTATTATTAATTAAATTAATTGAAGACATTTAACAAATAATAGTGTTAAACCATTTATTGACATCTCAACTAACACTTATTAAAATGTTAAGATTTATGCTCGCTGACATTAACAAGACATAGTCTTGATTATATAATCTGAAAACTATGCTCATAATTTGAGCAATAATTTCGCAAAACTTTAGGTTGTGAATATTATGCAATCATCTAATATTTATGTCAAATCTATTAGATACAAATAATATTTAGATGGTTAACATGGTGGGTGATGGGGCCCTATATTTCACTCTAATTAATTTTCAAAAATATAAGAAATTCAATCCATATTTTAGCTAACGATGTTTAATGATCAGTTGTCGATAAAGAGAACAAATAATATATATGAATTCATTGGATTGAAAAATCTTCTGATTCTTCATTTAATATCTATTAAAAAATTTTAATTTCGTATCATTATTGATCCAGTGATGGTCCAACTGTTCATGCCAAATAATTAAATCAAATTGAACTTCTGGTTCAATATAATATATAATTCAATTATTTAATCTCGAAAAATATGATTAAATATTATATAATCATATATCATTCAAGTAGTCAAACTCATCAATGTTCTAACGACATTAGTTATATGTTTTCCTTCAGGGATAAACATGAATTCAAAATAATATATTTTTCGAAACATGTGTTGTTTTAAAAGTACGTTATATTTTATTATTATTATTA